GGATGTCCCATGTCAAGATGCCCTCCCCCTCAGAGCGAGAAAGGAACATTGGCACTTACTGTGAAGAGTTCATTTTGCTCTGAGGAAGGGAGGGCATCTTGTCCCACCCTGATATAAATGGGGGATAACAAGCTGTTTTCTCCATGTTAATGCCTTCTTGTTGCATATGGTTAAATCATAGTCAGATGCTTGTGGTTAAACATCTGTATGATGTCAAATATATTTTGTTAAAACTAGGGAGATTGATATGCTAGGCATTGGGTAGGACACATCATTTGGGTCACAGAACCCCATTTGCTGAATATTTTTTGTGGCCTTTTGGAAAGACTGCTGACCTGGTGTGCATGTAAGGAAGAAGAAGAAGAAGAAGAAGAGATTGGATTTATACCCCGCCCTTCACTTGGAGTCTCAGAGCGGCTTACAAACTCCTTTCAGCACACTTATCCTAAAAGGAGTGTCCAGACAGTGTTGTAAGGTCACTCAGTGGTGGAGAGGCTTTCTTTTCAACACAGGCAGGTTTGGAGACTCCCCCCACTTCCCCACAAAAGTCCTCCCTTACCTTTTCTTTCTCCTCCAAAGTTGGTCACCTGCATGACCCAACTACCTGGTCCACCTGTGCTTGAAGCATGCAACAGGGGAGGCAGAAACTCCACAGCTCCTCCTCTTCCTGTAATCTGACTGTGTAACAGAATTTCTTGTCCCATACTCATAGCTTGGTGGGCCCCATGCTGCCACCTTGGGGGTGAAGGTGGGTTCTAGGCATGGGAAAGTTGGAGACCACTGAGTTGGGGTATTAAATGCACAGTGTTTTTCAGTATGTATAGGAAAACAAATACATTTTAATTGTTTCTGATACTTTTGTGATTTGTCAGAGTCTTTCCAAACCCCAGTCGATTTGCAAGCATAACATTCACTTCAGTATTTGTTGATAGTGAATGATTAAGACCGGAAAATTAATTATTGTCGTAGGGAATTCTTTTGTTAGGCTTGAGAAAGACAGGCTGTGAAGTAGGAGGAAAGTGTTCATTTCCTGGTAACTGGCAGATAAGGGAAAAATTCATCATGCTGAAGTACAGTTTTGGCTGTTTTACGATGTGGCATTTCATTTGGCATCTGAACTCTGCTTCTTCAACAGCCTGCTCTCTAGTGTGATATAGCAAACCTTTTCCCTTCTCCTAAGCAGTTTGACTGTTCTTGCTACCTTTTCTACCAGATTGTGCAGAAGCTGGCTCTCTCCCTGCCATCTGTAAGTCTCCTCAGTAGCATTGCCAAGTACAGTACAAGATTTCATGATCATTGTCTATTATTGTTGTTGTTGTTGTTGTTGTTATTATTATTATTCGCTCTGGGCAATGTGTAACAAACAAGATAAAATTAATTAAAACTTTAATACAATATTAAAAACAAACAGATGGCGAATAACCAATTCTCCTTCCAACTCCCACTGCCGGCTACTTTGTGGACAGGAGGGGGGAGGAGGGCAAAATAGATGTAGACAACAAGAAATGGGAAGGGTTCCAGCCAAGAAGGTTAAGGACAACCGGATATCTTTAGGGTCAGGGGTCACCAGTAGATTTCTGTCTAAGGAACACAAAGCTCTCCTGGGGATATAATGGAGGTGATGGATCCATAGATACATTGGTCCCTGACAGCTCAAGACCTTATAGGTCAATACCAAAACCTTGAATTTGACTCAGTATTCCACTGGGAGCCAGTGTAGCTGGCGCAGCGCTCGATGTATATGTGCTGTCCGTGACATTCCCGTCAGAACTTGCACCGCCACATTCTGGACCAGTTGGAGCTTCCAGGTCAATCTCAAGGGTAGACCAAAGTAGAGCTAGTTACAGTAGTCTAATCTGGAGGTGACTGTTGCATGGATTACTGTGGCCAGATCAGGGCACGACAGGAAAGGAGCCAGTTGCTGAGCTTGGTGTAGATGAAAAAACACTAGCTTGGCAGTTTGAGCAACCTGGGCCTCCATACTCAAGGAAGGGTCCAAAATCACTCCCAAGCTCTTGATGGATTCTGCTGGTGTCAAAGGCACTCCATCAAGAGCTGGTAACCTGTGCCCCAATCCTGAAGGCCCTACCCCCCCCCCAGCCTGCTCTGTTTCAACCACCCAACCACAGCCTCCAAACCAACGGCCAGATTATCTGGGGTGGCATCTGGGTGGCCATCCAATAACAGATAAAGCTGGGTGTCATCAGCGTACTGGTGACTTGGGCGCATATAAATGTTAAATAACATCAGGGAGAGAAGCACCCCCTGAGGGACCCCACATAATAGGGGGTATCTGGAGGACACAGTCTCTCCCAGCGCCATCCTTTGTCCCTGGCCATGGAGAAATGAGGTGAGCCATTTAAGGGCTAACCCCCGAACTCCTACATTGGCGAGGCGGTGGGCCAAAAGATCATCATCAACCGTGTCGAACGCTGCTGTAAGATCTAATAGTCATAGCAGTGCTGACCCGCCCTGATCCAGCTGTCGTTGGAGATCATCTGTCAGGGCAACCAACACCATTTCCATCCCATGGCCAGGGAGGAAGCCAGGTTGGAATGGGTCCAATGCCGATGTTTCATTCAGGTAATCCTGGAGCTGTTCAGCTACCGCCCTCTCAATTACCTTGCCCAGATACGATAAATTCGTGACTGGGTGGTAATTGGAAGAATCAGAAGGATCCAGAGTTGTTTTTTTCAATAACGGTACAACCACAGTCTCCTTGAGGCCCTCCGGATAACCCCTGTTTCCAGGGATAAGTTGACAATAGCCCTCAACAGGCCCTGTATCCTCTTATCACTGGCCTTTGCCAACTACAAGGGACATGGGTCAAAGAGGCATATAGTTGGCCTAACATCAGCGGGAGAGAGTAGGCTGAAGGTGTCAAAAGTAGAATCCAAAGATGACCAACAGGCTTCCCATTCACATATTGTATCAACATTGGCAGGTAGGTTGTGGCAGAGTGACAAGACTTTCATAAACGTCCTATAAGATGTTCTTGTAGCCTTGTCCCGTACCCGCCGCCAAACTCATTCAAGTCGTCTGAGTTCTTGTTTCATCCCCCTGAGCTTGATGGTATACCAGGGCAATGATTTACCATGAGAGCGCAGAGGATGTCAGGGGGCTACCTCATCGATGGCTTCAGAGAGACAGAAATTCCAGTCCTCTACCAGCTCATCTAATGAGGCGCCAGAAGGCATTGGATCCCACGGAGCATTCTGGAATCCAGTCGGATCCATTAGTCTCACTGCCTAGACAGGGGCGGGCAGGAACACCCAGCTGGGCCTTCAAAACCAAGTGGTCTGACCATGACACTTCTTCCATTGAAGTCAGATCCACAGCTATCCCCATCCCAAAGATCAAATCCAATGTGTGGCCAGCTTGATGGGTGGGACCTGATACAAATTGGGTAAGCCCTAATGCTACCATGGGTGATACCAGGTCTAAAGCTGGAGTGGAGGCTACAGCCTCATCAGCATGGACATTGAAATCCCCAAGAATTAATAGCCTTGGGAATTCCAAGGCCCAGCTGGCTACGGTCCCCAAAAGGCTCAGCAGGCTGTTTGCTGGTGTGCTAGGTGGCTGGTACACCAGACAGACAGCCAAGCTCACCTCAGTATCTCATACAAGGCCTACACAATCAGTGTTGGTGATCTTTGGGGTGGGGAGTGGTTTGAAGGAGAAAGCCTCCCGGATGAGTAGGGATACCCCACCTCCCCTGCCCCCGAGTTCGGGACTGATGGAGGACAGAGTAACCGGGGGGGGGGGGGGGGCTAGTTCTTGCAAGGTGACAGTTTCACCCTCCCATACCCAGGTCTCGGTCACGCAAGCCAGATCCACATCCTGCTCTGTCAGATAATCTTGCAGCGTCTTGATCTTATTATTAATGGATCTGGCATTGCACAACATCAGTGTTGAAGGGGAGTTTATGAGAGGTAGTGTGTGCTGTTGGGCAGTGAGAAAGGAATAAAAACAGTGTACCATCATATGGGTGCATTGTTAGAAAAAGCCTCCCAACTTAATCCAGCGAACTACGCTTTTGGTTTCATGGTTTTTCTAACATGGACTACTCCTTTATTATGGCAACAGTCAGTAATACGTTGCAAGGAGATGTATGGTGCAATTCAGAACAGAGGCAGCATGTAATCCTAAAACTCATGGCCATAAACATATAGGATGCTATAATGATTATCAGTGGCAATTAGTGGACCTTCAGTTCCACTTGCTTTATCTCTTACCGCAGTCTGAGTTACTATCAGAACAATCCTAACCAGAGTGACAACAGGCTTAGAAGGGAGCAGCTCTTTTTAGAATTGCACCATATATCTCCTTGCAATGCATTACTTATTGTTGCCATAATAAAGTAGTAGTTCCATGTTAGAAAAACATTGTTTCCTATAAGCAGTGGCATGTAATCTTAAAGCCACAGCCAATCACATGTAGGCTATTGTCATGATTATCAATGGTAATACGTGGACCTTCAGTTCCACTTGTTTTATCTCTTACCATGGGCTGAGTTTCTGTCAGTGCGATCCTTACCAAAGTAACAGCTGGCTTAAAAGCATGTGTCCTGGCTATAAATGTGTGCATGTTTATGGAGTTTGCTTACTTCGTGCCTGATTTACACATGGAAGGATTATGGAAACTGAGCAAATCAATGGGAGAACAATTCTTGAGACCTGGGCCTGAACCCCCATCATATATTTTCACCCCAATATTCCCACAAGTGTTGCAATTTTAGCCACCTACAAATCTTGCTGCTGATTAATACAACCTAAGTGTTAATGTAATGTGATCTTCATAAAACTCCTATTAACAAATGAATTTAATTATTATCCCACCATAGGTCTTAAGAGTGTCATGCTATTTGCATTGGTAAGGAAAGATCCTAAACCCCCTTTTGTATTTTTCCTAATAGTCACAGTTTTCTGATTTCTTGTTTCTGTTTCAAACCAGTATTGTACATTGTATTGTACAAATTATTTTCCTTTTCTTTTTTATAGTATAAAAAATGGCTTTTCGCAAGGCAGTGAAAGGATCTATCCTTATTGGAGGAGGCGCTGTGGCAACTGTGTTTGGTCTTTCACAACTTTCTCAGTATAGGAAAAAACATGTAAGTAATAATTTATTTTAAAAAAATATGCACAGAACTTTTGTAACAGAAGAGTTTGAAACTTTTTGCTCCTTTGTTGTAAGTGGTACCAGACACTGCAGAAGAAAGGAGTCCTGTCCACCCTGGGATGTGAGGTACCAAGTGACTCAAGATGGAAGGTGCTTTCACCAAGATTGGAGTTAGTCGTATAAACAAGGTGGCCAAAACTCTCTCTAGATCTCATAGATCCTCACTCTGTCCTTGAAGGCTGCAAGTTGTGAAATTGCTGATTTGAAAGCTGTGAAAGATTTTTAAGGGACTTGAGACAGAGAGGATATATTCAGCCTAATATGCACACTGCTTTAAGGCAGGCTTCCATGAGACTGTATATGCCAGACTACAAAATACATGGGTGGCCTGTCAAATGTAAGTCACGCATGATTGAATTACTGTCCCTGTTCATCCTTGAAACACTAGCCTGTGGAGGCCCGATTTCACTGTGAGCCTAGCTCTTTTCAGACATTATTTTTGTGATGCTGTGGACATGTATACAGGATGGGTGCACTACATCTGATCTTCCAATGTGTGCAGTTGCCTTTTCTTCTGAAAGAAAGATTACTCTGGGGTCTGGTCTGCATGTTCCAAAGCTGGAATATATGTGTGTTGCCCCTTTCAAAAGAAATGATGATTACATGTCTCAGGAATTTGTGTGTAGTGCATTTGTCCCATACACACATTCATAGTACCACAGATGTGATGTCTGTAAACGGTTTGTGTGTTGAACATGGTGTAAATATAGAAAGTCACATAGGAATCAGTCCTGAGTTAATGTTGTTACTTAGCATTGGGTTTCTTCTGTAGCAAGTTGTGTTTTCTATCACTTCGCACAGGCAGAATAGGGGAGACTGCACAAATTGCTCTGGGCATTGGATTTTAGCTGTCATTCAGTACATGAAAAAGTAACTGCTGTGTTTATCTCTTGGGGCTCATTTATGCAATCGGAGTTTCTTGGAAATGTGGTGGTGATGAGGTTGTTTCAGGGGATATTAGTTTGTTGTTGTTATCACATCCGCAAACCAAGTTTATGCAGATAGGGAACTGCAAGGTTTTCCAAGTTACCATTCACTGGATTGGATCCTGTGGAAGGGATTTACATCAGCAGCATAGGACTCCATTTGTTCCCCATCTTGCTTAGCTCAAAGGTGGCTTAAAATACTTTTCCTGTGGGAGATGGCAATCCCATGAGCAGCATTGGGGTGAATCCGTAGTGGAAGGAGAGGTTCAGCAACAACTTCCAGCTTCTATGAGTGGAAATCGACTGTTTCATGCAACTCACTGTTGATGGTCAGTGGGCCACTACAGTTATTGCAGAGGGTGATGTCACCATCACAGACCACACTTAAATGTTTCAGTGTCCTCTGTGTGGGCCCTGTAATGTATAATGACCCTTAGCCTCTTCTGTTTCTTAGGGGCTACTCTGTTTTCAGCCAGCTTCCTCATATTGTAGCTATTAACTGCATTATTGTTCAGATGACCACTTGCCCTGGGATGAAAGGAAGGTCTCTGGTTCTGTTTCAGCTGTCTTGAGCTTCCAGTTCAGTCCTTGGATCTGTAAGCAAACTGGAGGAAGACATAAAGTGCAGGGGTTGTTATCTTCAGTGTCTGGTAACACCCCCTCCCCATAGTTACAAGCAGCATTTAGAAGTGATTTATTAGATGTGTGAGAATCTATAGGTGGGTGAATGCCTCAGGAAGACAATATGTACATAATACAGTTGTGTATTCTCTAAAGAGAAAGCATTCAGCTGTGTACATGTTTACCTTGTTCAGAGGCAAGGTGACTAAGCTATAAAGACATGCAATACTTGAATAGGTATAATCTCTATGTAGTTGTACATGTAACCCACTTTTCTTTCATACCTCAGATCTGGTTGTGATTAGCCAGCCAGGTATCTGAGCAATTTTGCTTTGTTGAATTGTTCAGTGGAAGGGGACTTGTATGAATGTTTGTGTCATTATAAACTATGGAAGGTACCACAGGATTCTTTGGGCCCATTCTGCTGCTGTTTTCTTTCTCAAGTTCTAGCTGAAAGGGAGGTGGAGAAGAAGAATCAGGCCCCTTGACTACACATTCTCTCTCCCCCCTTATCAAGAAGGTACCAAATGAATGGGGAAGATCCCATTTTTATTAATACATTTGCTTTGTAAACCTACATATTTCCTGACAGTGCTTAGTCTTAGGTAAACAATCACTTTAGCAGTAGAGTGGAGGTTGAACGTGCAGACATATGCACAAATACAGGTTCAGGGAGAGATCAGGAGGGAAGGCTCTTGTATATTGGGGGGTGTACATGAGACACCGTTGCCACCATGTACAGGTCTTTGCCCACCCAAGCCAGTCCAGGAATGGGAGGGAATCCAGTACTTTTTAGTACATTAAACAACAAGCCACGAGACAGTCTGTACCATCTCTGGTCTTCACAACAATTTGCCACCAGAACCTCTTTTCACTAGTCCCTGCCTTTCCTAAGGGAGAGATTCCAAACCCACATGCCTTCTCCAGTGATGTCTTTTGATAACATGCTATGTCTTGTTTCCTGTTGCAAGCCAAATGGTGGGAGCCACATGGCCTCAATAGACATGCCATAAACCCACATTCTTTCACACTTTCATGCCAAACGCCAGACCTCATGGCTACACTTTCTGGCCCACATGCGACTAGTCACGTAGACCATGAAGTAGCTGGAGTTTGGGGTCAGATGATTGCAGGCGGGGTCCCAAACTTATAGCCTATCCCCACACGCAGCTATGGCAACCAATAATTGGGCACACCCACACCCACTCGCAGTTGGCTGATAGCCACATCTAATTTGTGACTGGAATTGGGGTATAATTGTTTTGATCCCTATGGAGTGCTCCCTTGCTTAGCTCTCCCTTCCTCCTCTGTCAGTTTGTTTTATTGCACCTGAAAATGCTGCCTCTTGAGAGACAAAGAGTTGCTTTGTGACTTGGAGCGCATGGTGTGCAAAAATGGGATTTCCCTTCAAAATCCCTTGGTACTGGGACTGTCTTGGACTGAGGAATATGCTTGACGTGGTAACTATGAATCATTAATGTTTAGTTAAGGCAAACAGCCCTAGCCTTTGTTATTTTTGTAATCTCTGGTAGTCTATGCTAAGCTCTGTACTAAATAAAGATCTATCTTATTGCTAAATTGTCTTTGATGTTGTAACTGAATTCCAAGGCTAAATCCTGTGGCCTCAACGCTCCCCATATACGCTACCATTGGAGAGGAAAGGTGTGCATCTCTGGAGTGAGTTCCTAAGGTGTTCTGTCCCAGATGCCAACTAAGGGTTTGGAATCTCTCCCTTAGGAAAGGCAGGGACTAGTGAAAAGAGGTTCTGGTGGCAAATTGTTGTGAAGACCAGAGATGGTACAGACTGTCTCGTGGCTTGTTGTTTAATATACTGAAAAGTACTGGATTCCCTCCCATTCCTGGACTGGCTTGGGTGGGCAAAGACCTGTACATGGTGGCAGCGGTGTCTCCTGTACAGGGGGAGAAGACCTGAGGTGCATAGGAAAATTGTGTTCTTAATTTGACCATGCCACTCTCCAGAATCTGTGGGTACTGAGGGCTAGTCTAGTGTATTGCCTTGTGTAGTCAGTGAAGATGGCAACAGAGAGTAGAATGTGGCTGAGACTGGCAGTTAAGTTGAAAAGAAGAAAGCAGCCTGGATCCTTTAAGCTGTAAGGGGGTCAGTTTCGTCCTGCAGCTTAAAGAATAGAAAGAAGTTGTGATCACAGCTTGCATTACCACAGCCAAAATGGACCTTCAGCGTTCTGTTGCTGAGGGGTTCAACAGAATCACCAGGCAAATGGAGTTGCTGCTAAACAGAGGTTAGTGCCTGATGTCCCAGCTGGAGAGGAGTGAGGGGTAATTAAAGGTGAGGGGGAAGAGAGGGAGAGAGGTGAAGATAGGCTATGTAGAAGGACTGGAAAAGAGAAAGGTGAGTTATGGTGGGAATTGAAGAGGTCGGGAACAGTGTTCCCTCTAAGCTGCAGAGTGTTGTGAGCAAAAGTTTTGCTTTGTGAGCCAAAAGAGCTACTAGTATTAAAGTTGTAAGTCTGATTTGACTAGGGTTGCCAACCTCCAGGTAGAGCCTGCATTTCTCCAAAAATTGCAACTGATCAGCAGATGATAGAGATTGCTCCCCCTGGAGGAAATGGCAGCACAGGAGGGAAGAATCAGTGGACGCTGGCATCCCTACATCCAAGTCAGAGGTTTAATAACTATTCCACATACATATTAATTATTCATTCCCCCCCCATTGCCTTGAGCCAGCCCATTCATGTTTTTGCTTTATCAGGAAGAAAGCTTGAGTCATCAGGAAGAAAGCTTGGTGGGGGAAAGGGAGGCTAGCAACTGGGCCTTCACTCACACCCAGAATGAAGAGATGCCAACCAAGACTGTAGTCCAACCTCCAACATAGGGAGCACAAGACATCTGCCACAAATGAAAACTGTCAGAAGGGAAAGGGTTAAAATGCCCTGGCATCCTCTGGATGCATTTCTCTCTCTCTTTCTCTCACACACAGATACACACACCTGCAGTCTTAAGTCTTATTGGTGGGAGATTTGAGACTGCAATGTTAAATATTAGTTTACCAAATATAAAGTTTGCCTTCCCACATTTCTAAAACCTATGAATTGAAATGCATCTCTGGTTGTTATAAAAATAGATTAGGAACGCTCCCATTATTGAAAGAAGTTCTCAACATTTACTTCAGCTCTTCTGCAACCATTTATCCCAGATCCCTCCTTTCTCCTACTCATCTGTCTTCCTACATTGGCTTCCATCAATACTTATGCCACTTTCTCTCCCCTGCAACACACACCAGCTCCCTTTCCTGATATCCAGGGGGAAGCAATGATTTAACCCCTGCAAAAAATAGAAAACCTCAATTGGCAAGACCAGTCATGCTGTGGAGGTCATGGGAAGGAGGATAGGTCCAAGAGACCTA